GGCCCTGAGGCCGGAACGCCACGGGCTCCGGACGCGGCCGCCCGGGGTCGCTCCCTCCGCGGGGCGGGGGGCAAGCCCGGGGAAGGGCGGGACCTGCAGGAGGCGCGGGAGGGGAGGTCCTAGGCCGGGAAGGGGCGCAGGCGGGCGGCCCAGGAGAGAGAGGGCGCTGTCTTCCTGGCGAAGGAGCTCTCGCTTGGCCTGCAGGAACCGAAACAAAACAAAATCTGCGAGGCGGAGCCGCGGGCTGAGCGGGTGCACAGCCCCCGGCTGGGGACCCGCGACCCGCGCCTCGCCCCGCGCTGCTCGGCCTCAGGCGGGACCCGAAGGAAGGGAGTCTCTCCCAGCGGCCGTCTGTCTTCAAGGACATCCCTCCCTCCCTGCTGCCCTCCCCAAACTGGAGGTGTCGGGACGAGCGAGGCGAGCGGGGCGAGCTGGCCCCTTGCCGGGGCAGGGTCGGCTTTTCAGCCGCGTGGACCTGCGGCCAGCTCTTTCCTCGGGGAGCGGCAGCGAGTGGTCTCACCGGTTTTGGCTGCTCTTGCCCAGGAACGACCGGGAGATAGATGGAGACCCCTTATTTACCGCCACCAACTGGCCAGGTCGCGCACCCAGAGACCGAAGAGGTCTCAGGGACAACTACCATCAGCCATTCCGCACCCAAGCCTGCAAATCAGAAACCTGAATTTATATTAGATTCAAAGAATTGTTATTCCTCCATCCCTGAAGTACATGCTTCTGGTCATCTACCAAGGGTGACGTGCTCTGGTCTTCCCACATAATAAATCGGGCAAAGCAGCAGAGAAGAGTCCCAGACTCACTTCCGTCTCCAAAGGTCCCTCTGGATTAATGGATTTCGAGGTTCTGGTTTGTGCATAGATACTAGAACTGATCGTCTGCTTACACGTCCTCCACCTCGGCCTCTCAGGGTCCGATCGCTGTCCACTCGATGTTGCAGGCTGTTCGAGCCCCTGAGGCAGAATCCAGGTGGCCTCGCAGTTCCGCCTTGGGCAGGAGCTGTTTCCTAGGAGTCACTGGGTGGGCTGCCGTCCGCCTGACGCTTCACATTGAGAAACGCTTCTCTTGTGGGAACGTCTGTTTCTAGTCATCTGATTTTCTAATTTCTTTGATCAGACTAAATATTTTCTTGGCAAACGGAAATTGACCATGCCATGAATATGATAACAACTTACTTGGAAAAAAGCTATTTTCTTTCCAAGCAGCAGAAAGGGGGGAGGGGCAGAGGCATGGCTGTTACACCGCCTGGAACAGACTCCAGCACATACATCTTTTTCAGTCCCTGAAGGGGCTTTGTAAAAGCTGCCTCCCCAACCCCGGGCATAGCTTCTTCTCTTTCTCTCCTCCCCAGATAAGTACACACCTGGTCTCCGAAGAGTCTTTGATACTCTTTATTAAAAAATAGAACTTCAATGGACGCCTCTGGAGGATTTCCCTTTAAAACATAGATGAAAGGCAAGGTTAATACAATGTTCTTTTAATCCTTTTGCTTTCTGAGTCAAAATAAATATTTTCTTCTGCATGTGATTGTACCGCCTGCCATTTGGCTGTGTCTATGAGCAAATCGACTGGTAATAAAAGTGTTTTTGAGGCTGTGTATTAAATGCAGGTCTCTTGAAATGGGGGATGGGGAAGAGTCAGCCCTTCACAGGCAAGAGTTGGTGGCTTTCTGAAAAAGCTGCAAGTAAAGGACCTTTCACCTCTCATTAGTGATGCTATCAGTGCTCAGGCAGAGTGGAGCTGAGGTCATGTTACATATGGCACACAGTCTGCTCAGCACTTGAAACATCAGCTTTGAAATTTTAGAGAGGGGAAAGGTCACCTTTAATAAGCTAAAGTCTGGGGCTCCCTTTGCCCTCCTTGCTAACTGGGTGGGTGTCCATATGCTTCAAGCCTTGTGCACAAGTCTCTCTCTCTCTCTGTCTCTGCTGTTCTGAGCTGCTTTTCATTTCACATCTCAATTTAAGTCATGATGTTTTCAGCTATTAATACTCCAAAAGGCCTTTCATTTTTACAGCAATCCTGTCATCTTTCCTTTTCTTTTTCAACAATCATAAAACTGTCCTTTCTGAGTGATAGCTTTTCGAAGCCAGCTTCCCTGGAGAAATGAACTGTATCTGCCCATCTGCATACATGGATCCAGACATGTGGGCTATAGGATTACCCTTCCGAGTGGGGAATTCAGACTTCACTCTTGTACACTACATAATTTAGTGAACTTTCAAAATGTTAAAACTTCCACATCATGTAAAAGGTCTAGTTTCTTGAACACTTCCTGAGCACTACTAAAAAATTTTCATGCCATTTCCTGAAATTTCATATTTTATTTTTGCCACGTGGGGGAAACATATACCCTGATTCTCCTCTAAGGCTGAAAGTTTAAGACTCACCCACAGATGATATAATGGTGGATACAGCACTGAAAAAAAATGCTTATATTCTACTTCCTTGTTCAGAACATATTAAAAATATTTGTGAACATTTGATTCTCAAATCTGTTCAAGGGAAATCAACCAAACCCAAGCAACTGAACTACTCCCCAAATCTCTTTGCAGTCACTGGAAAGATGAATAATATAAAGGGTTTTTGTTTTGTTTTGTTTTGTATTTGTTTTGTTTTCATGTGACTCTGCAAGGAACTTCCCAATAGTGATTTGCCATATTTAGTCCCAGGAGCTTTTTCTCCACACGAGACTACTATCTGTCATGAGTAGCCTTAAACACCAATACATAATTTCCTCACTTATTTTTCTTTTTTTTTTTTTTTTTGGTTTTTCTACGGTACCAGGAACCGAACTCACGACCTTGCGCTTGCCAGGCAGGTGCTTTGCCGCTGAGCTAAATCCCCAGCCCCTTATTTTTCTTTGTATGTGTCAACTCATTTTGTTTTTCTGTAGATACCAGACTGTGATTGTTTTTTCAGCTTTTTCTTCTTTTTATATATAAACTACCTGCAGTTTTGCCTATAAAGTAAATTTTAAAAATAAGACATGCATGGTAATTAACTTCAAACAAGTGGACTCAAGGATAATTTAAAATTCTTGATCCAATCTGCAACTGAAAACATTAGAACAATCTCCAAACATCCTCTTGAGCCAGCTAGAAATTCCTCATTAGTAAAAAATTTAATGACTGGAATATCTAGGCAGGATTTGATTTTGTTTTATATCTACTGAGACTCTCAAAAAAAATCTTCAATTTTGAATGAGGAAAATTTGAAAAGGCCGGTTTGCACATAATAGCAACTGAAACTATAGATGAGCAGAATGATTTCACAACCAAGAATGACATCAAGTAAATAATTCATGTCTAATCACTTTCCTGCATTAAGGTTTACTGCTAATGAGCTAGTGGACTTTGTGATACCCTAGCTAACAGAAAGCACTTGAAGCTTTGATGACCCAAATGGTTTAGTAAGTTCAATCAATCTAGTCAATAAAAAGTGAAGATAAATAAGTGCACTTTAATCTTACAGAGTATTTATGTCCATGCACATACACACGTATGTTTAGGAAGGAGGTAATTTTGTTTCATTTTGTATTAAATTTTAGAGTTTCAAAAAATTGCAGGAAAATGTAAGAGCCAATTATGACTCTCCAATGAGTCTGAAAAAATAAGAGTGAAATATTCAAAAGTTAGGTTCATCAGTGACAGTCTGGGAACTCATTAAAGATCTATAAGAGGGATATTAATAATTTTTCACCTTTTTTTGGTGGTAGTGGACATTGAACTTGGGCATTTGCTAGGCTAGCGTTTTAGCACGTCTAGGCAAGTGCTCTACACTGAGCTGCACCTCTAGCCCTTTTCAAACTATATTTTGAGACAAGCTCTCACTAAATTGCCCAGGCTGGCCTGGAACTTGAAATCTGCTTGCTTCAGCCTCCCAAGTAGCTGGGATAACAAATATGCACCATAATGCCAGGCTTAATTTTCACTTCTTATGGACTCCCTTGCTGAAAAGAACATTTAATATTTTACAAAACTAATCTCATCCATCTTTGGGAGGTATTATCTTATTACAATAGGTGATTATACCTATTACAAAGATATGGCAGAGAGGTTGTATAATTTGCCCAAGGGAATATAATTCTGAGGCAGTTTGGGAACAAGCAGTGTGAACCTGACTCTCTCTCTCTCTCTCTCTCTCTCTCTGTCCTCTCTCCTCTCTCCTTTCTGTTCTCTTCTCTCTCCTCTCTTTGTGGTGCTGGAGATCAATCCAGGGCCTCATGAATGCTAGGCAAGTGCTCTATCATTAAGATATACCTTCAGCTCCCAATGTGTTTAAAAAAGCAATTTCCCATAAAGAGATAAGTGATTCAAATTAATTGGTTTTAGTGAGTCCTCATAAAATGTTTTTGTTTTTAAATTAGACTCTATGATACAGGGTCAAGATTTGTGAGAGATTTTATAAATATACTTAAATTACCAAGAAAAAAAAAAAAAGCATGTCAGATGAAGTGGTATGAACCCACCTAGGGTTGGGTAGTTCTTCCATCCTGTCAGGAAATCAGTCCCAGTCTTAGCTAGTGCAAATGTCATGTGGGCGGAGACAGGCAGATTACAGAAGCATGAGGTAATTACTGCAGCTTAACTGTCCCACAGAGGAACTGGTAAGTGTTCATAAACAGGGTCCAACAGCGCACTATCTATCACGAGATTTAGACTGTTCTTTCAATACTTACAATGGTTTCCTTGGCATACTAACGAGAAAAAAAAATACTAGAAATTCTGGAAAGTTAAGGATTTGGTTGATCTTTATTTAGGGCATGCTTCATAAACTTTGGTAGACATGCAAATGACCTGAGGTACTTGTAAAAATGCAACTCACTAGGCGCTTATCCTCAAGCTCTGATTCCTTAGGGTTGGAGTAGGACCCTGGAATTTGCATTTGCACAAGCACCCCATTTTGGTGTAGCTGATGGTGGGCTGTCCTTTGAGAAAAAAAGTCACTCTGCCTAAGGTAAGAGCCTAAGAAAAGGAACGGTCTTTTGGAACAGCAAGAATAAAGCTTAAACTTCCCAGTGTTTACCTAACTGGAATTCACTTGTTGTTCTTTCTTTTTTGGGGTGTGGGGTATCACTTTGAAGCAGTGATACCTCACTGTTAAATTAGTCTTTTCATAGAGGAAAGAATCTTTGGGTTTCTTCTTTCTTTCTTTTTTCTTTTTTTTGTCTTTTTGAGAGAGGGTCTCGCTTTGCAGTTCAGCTGGCCTTGAGCTCACTTTGTAGCCCATGCTGGCCTCGAACTCACAACGATCCTCCTGCCTCAGCCTCCCGAGCATGGGGATTACAGGCGTTCGCCACCACCCTCAGCAAATCTTTAGATTTCTTTTTTTGGGGGGGGCGGTTCCGGTACTGGGAGCCAAACTCACGACCTTGCGCTTGCCAGGCAGGTGCTGTGCCCCTGAGCTAAATCCCCAGCCTCTAAATCTTTAGATTTCTGAAGAATTTTGTACAAAGTAAAATGTTTCTAGCCAACTAAGATAGAAAATAATTTGTTTTTTTAAACAATTCCTGTAGATCTGGGGATGCATCTTGGTGGTAGAGCACTTGGCTATCATATACAAGACCCTGAGTTCAATCCTCAGTACTGCAAAAATAACTAGACAGAAGATGATAGATGATAGGTAGATAGATAGATAGATATGCATACTTTTACTAAATTAGAGTTAGAAGTGATATCAGGAGCCACAAGAAAGAAAAATCTCTGAAGAACATCTAAATACCTGTCACAAAAGTTAAGCAAATCTCATAGCCAGCTTAAAAACCAGAAAGGTTTTAAATATCTCTTCTTTGTGTGTGACCCCAGTAAAATAGTGAACTCAACTAGACCCCCTTCACAAGATTTGCAGGAAGTAGAGATGCTCTGAAGAATTGCTACAACACGATAAGAGGACTAGAAAACAGAATCTACGAGAAAGTTAAAACCAATAGCATACACCACAAATAGCAGTATTTGTAGCTTAGAAAAGATTTTTACAGGGGCTGGGGATTTAGCTCAGCGGCCTAGCGCCTGCCTGGCAAGAGCAAGGTTGTGAGTTCAATTCCTGGTACCAGAAGAAAAACAAAAATACAAACAAAACAAACAAACAAAAAAAGATTTTTACAGTAAAGTACTTGACCACATAAATCAAAGCCTTTTCACTTACGAAAGGGAGAATAAGTACTGGAAAATATTAGTAGTCATAATTTCTATTTCTCTAATTTTAGAGATCAGTGAAAGGTGAGGTATTGGAAACATAGGTACCGTAACTCCGTTGTTGGCAGAAGCTGAACTCACCGGTCTTAGTAGAAGCCCTCGGAAGACATTTTAATTGGGATGGCGCCACTAAAGGCGTAAATAGTGGAGCGCTCACGACCTCATATCTGTCCTGTGTGTTTCAAGACTCATCAGAACGAGAAAGATGTGCTTGGCAGTAGCAAAGGCACGTAGGCTCCATGATCCTGTGCAAGTGAGAGACAGTTAAAGACTAACGTGGGGCGGGGGCTTCTGTTTACTTGTTGGCTGCATAGAATCTGGAGTAAGCTGTCCTAGCCAAACTGCCCTCTCGAGTTTCCTTTCAGGCATTTCTACTGTTTGCCGCTGCCTCGTAGGCTGTCTG